CAATAAATATATTGCTGGTTCTCCAAGTCAACAATATAAACATTTTTAATGTGTGGTTTGGTTTTTTGGTTTGTAAAGAAGATCTTCAAGAAAAGTATATAGTTATTTAATAAGAAATATATATCCATAAGAAATGAAAATAGGAAGAACTTCAAGAAAAATTTATAAAGAAGTAACTGCCACAAGCCTTTTTTCATGCAATCCAAAGAAAAAGCAAGGTCCCCAAACTTGCTTTTCTTTGGCCAGAGGTCCTATTTCAATGCATCAATATACTTTTTTAGTTTCCTTGAGGTTCTTGTAGTGAAGGTAAAGGATGTATGAAGGACTTTGAGAAGTTGAAAAGTAAGAGAAATATTTGTTTCTTTAATTTTAAAAGATAATTATTAAAAAAGAAAATTTTTAAGAAAAAAGTTGTGTATGGGAAAGAGTTTTTTTTTTTTGAATAATATATTTTTAGATTATTAATGTAATCAATATAATTATTAATTATTGATATAGTGGATTTTTATCTTTTTTTAATATAGAATATTAAGATTATCATAATTAATTAATATTGTATTAAAATATACTGTACATGTGATATAAATTATTTTGCTATTGACTTAATTTAAAATTCTTAAAAATAATTTTGTTATAACTCAATTATTATATATTTTAATAGTAACTCAATTAATTGTATTAAGAATTTACAGATTTTAGTAACAAGTATATATTAATGTATTTCAAGAAGATTTTATATATTAATTTGATAAATTTATTAATTTTTATTAAAAATAAATAAATAATAAATAATATTCAAACATTTCTATAAAAGCCTACTTACAAATATATTGTTTAATTTCCTTTTTCATTGATATTTAAAAGTTTATTTAGAATTTGATAGGATTCCAATTGGTTTTGATAAAATTTAATACCAATTTAGTATAACAATAAATATAAAAAAATGTATATCATATTTTTATTTTTTCTTGAAACTTGTAGTCGATATTTTTTTTTCAGTAAATTTAAGTAAATATTCGCTCCATTTTTTCGGGTTCAGATCTGTACGTAATTGTACAGATTACATAACGTAAAATAAATTAAGATACGTAATACAGTATATATATAAGTGATAATATTAATCTAATGACACGTCATGCGGACCATGCATATTTCTGATGGATCAGTGATTAAGCCACATGAATTTTATAAAAAGAAACCGTTTAAGGGAAAGTATATTTCTCTCTCTTCATTGACCTTTCAGCCGTGCACGCAGTCATGGACTCGGCAATCGATTTAATTGACGATTTCAAAATCCAGAGGGGGAAACAAAAAATGATTCAATACAATAATCAAATAGATTCTAATATGAACCTCATAATAGATCGAAATGAAATTTGCCATTTTGCAAAATTATCTTTGGAAATCAAGATAAAGATTTTTAAATACCTGGAAATTTCCGAAATTGTCAAGATATCTCAGGCAAGTGAATATTTATAAGAATGTAATATTATCAGATATCATTGTAAAACTATTTCTTTTTTTATATACAGGTTTGTCGAGAATGGAAGATGCTTGCTTTTGATGGTTCGCTGTGGTCAAATCTAGACGCAACCTCATTCTATCAAAGCATATCTTCTCACCAATTGCTTAAACTAAGTAAATCTGCTGGTGGTTTTTTACAAGTTGCAAACTTTCGGTATGATATTTCCTGATTTACGCGAATTTAATCTACGGCAAGATGCCAGATTATCATCTTTAAGTGATGGCAAAAATTATCATTTTCTTTACTTGCAGCGGCTGCATCCAACTTGATTTTCAGCATATCAGAGAACTGGCTCGCAGTTGTCCCAACATTCATACCCTCAATCTTTCCGGCTGCCGCTCTCTGAGTAATGGATCTGTAAATTATTTGTTGTCTCAGCTTCACAATCTCAGAGTTTTAGATGTTTCCGGATCGGCCTTTAAAGTAAATTTAACATGCCAGACTCTTGCGAAGGAATGCAAAAGGTTAAAGAAGGTTAACCTTAATTGGTGCAAAGATATAAATTCAAATGATGTAGAAGTTCTAGTAAACGGATGTCAAGAGTTGGCTAGTTTAAAGATTAATGGTCTTGGTGAAATTTCCGAATCCTTGATGTTGAAAATTGCAAAGTTACCGGAACTAAAAATTCTTTCGATGGAATCTTGTTCTACTTTGAGCGATGATCATGTTTCAGCTTTATTCAAGGACAATAGTATCGTTCCTCCTTTAACACATTTAAATTTATCCAACAACCAACTTATAACTGATGGTTCCTTGAAAGACATAGCAGATTATTGTAAAACACTCACACATTTACAACTTAATGGGTGCACGAATTTCACCGATAACGGATTTTTATATTTGGCATCTAAATGTTTGCGATTGGAAGCACTTGATGTAGAGGATTGTCCATGCATCAATGATGAGGTTCTTCAATCATTTGCAGCTCACCTCTCAAATCTTAAAACAATTTGCCTAAGTTATTGCGAGCTTATATCAGATGACGGCGTGACAGCTTTGATACGGGAATGCATAAATATTTCTCATATGGATCTCGATCATTGTATGCTACTTACCGAGGCACTTCTGGAAAATATTACCAGAATACTGACTGATGATAAAAGTCTGGAATATCAGCGACTTGGTGACTTTAATTCCAGAACCAAGCGTCCAAAACATATTGAAATAGATTTATCTGATTGTAGGAATATTTCTGGTTCAGCGATTAAAGAAACTATACGAAAAGTGGCAGATAACGGAGTGAATTTGGAACTTAAAGGCTATTACTCCTGGCATGCGAGTAATAATTCCGAGTCCGACGATGACGAAATTAGAGGAACTAGGAATCGCAGCTGGATTAGGAATAATAGATTCGTCAGACGTTTGACGCAGGATATGCCTGAAGGATCGCTGAGACGTCAATTAGGCGCTGCACTGCGTGCAAGGGTTAGGGGCGCAATAAGAAGTACTCGCAGAACCAGGGATAGAGCAAACATTACTACGGCAGGCCGAGGAATTGGTCAATGCACAATATTGTGAAAAAAAGTTTGTTCATAACTTCTTTTTGATGCTTAATAACGTCACCGTTGTTATAAACAAGCTGTATGTCTAAATCATGTCATTCATGTGCGATATTATGGGTTGATAATTATGCGAATTTATTACTGAAATCACTGCATTATCTTTTTTTATTATGAATATTATATTTCGCGAGTTTCTTAATCTATAATATGCATAATATATAACTATGGATTTCGAACTTCTGTATTATAAAATAATCAAGCTTTCACAGGAATCCTCTTGTATATAGAATTAATTTGTATTTGATTCATTGTCATATGTATAACAATCACTTTTTATATCTCAATATTATCTAAGTCAAATTTCGCTGAACGAGTATGTCAGTCGTATGAAATAACTTATTGATTTCCAAACTGGCCGTACCAAAGTTTAGCCAGCGACTCGCAACCTAGTTTTACAAATGAAAATGTTCGAAATTACTTTATTGCTACGCGGAATAAAGTGTCAGGTTGCCTTGATCATGATCCGTGATATAAAATTTTTATTGGTGTATAATTACATCATACACTGATAATTCATAACTCGTATTTCTTTAAATTTATCTTCTCTTTCCTTATTATTTTTACCTCGCGATTCGAAGCTAGTCCTTTTTTTTTGTTTTTTAACCATAATATTAAATCTCATTCTACTTGGCACGAATAACTATTTGATACTAAAAATTTAAACTCACTAGCACTTATGAATTAATCTTTTAACATACAGTATTGAGCAAATAGTATTTTAAAATTTGATTAGATTTATATAGTGAATTAGTAATTTAATTGACTAAATGATTTTTTCCTTTTTATTTAAGGTTTTTGAAGTTAATAAATTATATAATAGTATTTAACATAATATTCATAATATTTTATAATACATATAATGTTATCCGGTTAATAAATCTGTTATAATCAGAATAATCAATTGAATAAGTTATGTTTCATAAAATAAAGCAGAAAAAAATGGTACAAACTCGAACAGGTTAAATGATTGTGATAATTTTATTACATAAAAGAAATTGTTTTTTTGAGAAATATTGGTTTTCTTTTATTTAATTATTTTTTTGCTATTTACAATTGAATGATAATTATATTTTATATTCTAAAAAAACAAATTTAATAATAAATTAATTAAAAAAAAAATTTATTTATTTACAAATACAAAATTTTTTCAATAAGATTTGTGACTTTTTATAAAAATAGAATAATATAATTCAAATCTAATAGTATTTTTAATTAATTTTTAAAAATTTTAAATTATTTTTAATTAAATTATTATATTGTTAAATTAATATTTTATTTTTAATTAAATTATTATATTGTTAAATTAATATTTTATTTTTAATTATATTATTTTGTTAAATTAATATTTTATTTTTAATTAATTATTTTGTTAAATATGATAATAAAAATGTTTTTAATAATTATTTTAATATATTATTAAGATAATTTATTAATGGTAAAGTAATATTTTCTTTATTTTAAATTTTTAAATGTAATTTTATAATTATCTTTTTTTCAAAAAATAAATAAATTTAATAATATTAGTTATAAAAACCTTTAATCAATAAGATATACAGTATGTGAACTATTAAGAAAAATAATAAAATATTTTCAAAATAATAAAAATTAAAATTAGATAAAAAGAATTTATTTATCAAATTAAAAAATATATTTGACTTTTTTAATTTTACAATAAATATAATAAAGCGTGATATTATATCTTTGTTTTGGATTTAATTGTTTATTTTTATACAGGTTTTACTTTATATTTGAATTCTATTTTTAAGATCTTGATTATTATTATTATTATGATAATCAATTTTCTATAGTATATAGAAAAATAGTTTTCTATATATGATATTAGATATACTATATATGTAAAGTATAACCATATTCAGGTCTAACCATATACTGTATACATTTCATGTTTTATTTCACTTATTATTATAATATTAATCAATCGAATACAAAATATTATAAATTACAAATATCTTAATTCATCGATTGATGTAATTATTAAAAAAAAGAACTATTCGTAATACTGTACACATTGTACATAGTTGTTGCATATAAGTTTGAAATGACGAGATTATTTTTAAAAAATGTGATGGCGACGTAAATGTTGGTTAAATAAATATAAACGTAATAAAATAAGAGATTCGTAAGTAAAAATCCAATATTAAAGTCGCAATAAGAATTCTGAAACAGTTTAACAGATAATTGCATAAACTGTGGGGCGGACATAATTATTCTTAGAATTTATGCATATGTACGTGAATTTAGGATAGACGTGTATAAACAAATCAGCATGACCTTATGCAACAAATAAGTACAGTAAATACTTGTTGGTATATTAATTCATTACTTCATGTAAATAGGCAATTAATTAATCAAATAATTAAAACGTTCGCAAGTCATATGCTGCTTCGCGTAATAGATTTCAAGTTTAGATGTTTATTTTAGAAATTTCGAAATAACTACCAATGAAATTCAATATACAAAGTAACGTAGGCGATGCTTTCGTGT